ATGGGAAACATTACGCCCAATATAGAGGTCTACGACACAACAATCTAATATGTTACCTGGCTTAATAATCCTAAGCACTTCAAAAACAGTCCAACAGCTACAAACAACTCAGCTACACTTGCAGATGGGTCCTCACTCACTGGAAATTGTTTAAAAAGTTAAACGATTAAAGCGGCCGTGAATAATAGAATAGTACACTGAGAAAATAGACCCCTGCGTCAATCAATTATCTCTAATGCAGCATTATCTGCATTTCCCAAAATTCCTCCAAATCCCTTCGAAGAGTCTCTTCTCAAACGCCCGGTTTGGAAACAAAAAATCTTACAGACATTTTTGGGTCCAAACTATGCTAATATAAACAGATGATTCTTAATATGAATGACTGACTATGATACTCACCTCCTTCCATGTTGTTGATAACTCCCAGATAAAGTTTGCCAAGATGAGATTGTTCCTCACCAATGTATTTCCAATACTGGACCAACTCACAAACACGACCTCTATAAATGAACCAATGTACAATTGATAAAAGTGATAAACGGAGATATTCATTTTATTACTTTTCCTAGTAGGCCTATTTATAGTGATTTTTTTAGCACAAGTACTTTTCAAATCGACCACGTGATGCGAATTTTGTAAATGGAAAATTTTTAAAATCACGTGATTAAACTTGACTGCGATTCGGTCACGTGATGTAAAAATTCCAACGTGGAACAACATTGGCATCACGTGAACGATTTGAAATGTATTTATTTGTGCTTAATATGTAACAGACACTATGAAGGCGATAAAAAATCACAACTGCCTTGGTCTACTGGAAAGAGTAGTACTTGTAAACCTCACGCTGTCACAGAGTCATCTTGGAGATAACTCGCTTGTACGCATGCGTCCACCAACGGAAAAGTACAGAAACAAATTGCGCTTCATCTTAGAGAGATTGCATGAATACATGATAAAGAATGAAACAATTAGCTTATTTTTTCTATTTACCTTTCAAAGAATCTCGTAAAGACATTCATATCCAAGAGACAATCTTTTAGTTTTTCCTTCTGAGAAGTTTGCTGAAGCAGCCACGGCATCTCATCGATAAGGCGATGTGTTACRCGGCATTTCCTTAAATACAGTATAATAAATAAGTATCAAACGATACATTTCGGGATACAACAAATATCAAACAAACCTAAGGGACAAGTACCCGCCTAGTTCCGGTCATGCGTAAACATGTAAAACCTAAGGCTAAGGTCAAACGTCGAACTTTACATGAGCCCTTCGCATTGAAAAACATTAGTTAATAAGGCGGTGATCTTTCATGTCATTAGGTTCGGCTCATGTGAAGTTTGCCGTTTGACCTTAGTCTCGTTATTTCATTTCATTATTTGTATGTCTATTTTCTTACTTGCCTCAAAATCGTTTAGAGAAGTACGGACAAATAAAACCTAAGTACAGCTGTATACCTTATTTTGCTATTGTAGAATGATATAAGTCTTTGTTGTACTGCTCTAGTTTCTGTTGCATCCTCGTCTAGACGGTAAAACACAGAGATGGCGTCGTGTATCTATAAATTAAGAAAGGGGATTTTAGACCAGGGATACATACCCTTGGTCACTCTATTTTGCAGCCGTCGTCAAGGCCGAACTCGGGGAAAATCAGTCGTAAAAAATACACATTCCAGATTATCAACACAAAAAGTATCCACTATACTACAAGATGTTGTACGATCCATATTAATGGTTCAAATTTTGGTTCGATGACCCATTTCATTGTTACATGATGTCATCAATCAAAACAGCAGAAAAATGGAAAAATTATAATATCTATAACTTAGATTGTCATTTCAGGGACGAAAAATATTAGCCATAAATGTTAGTTATAAATGTCACCCTCAGTCATACAATGAGGTCGTTCCGTCTTACATGATTGCATAACAGGTCAATGGGTCTATAGAGATCAGGGTTTTCATTAGATGTCATGTCCAAAATCGCAAAATGCTCTGGTAATTCTTCGTCTTAAACTACCATGATAGAAAGTGGATGCTAACATCATAATAAATATAAACCAAACACGTGAAAAAAGTAATACTGCACTTCTAGCATTTAACTAGCCGCCTAGAAAAACAAACGTCCTATCACTCCCCAACTTTATTCCCTTTCGCATGGGAACAAGTCGAGTCGAAAGGACGTCGGTTTTCTTAGGCTAGCATATAAGTCCACAATTTACGAAGTTCAGTTAAGGGTCCCACCTGTTGATTTTCCAGTACGATGAGCCCCACACGTGTGGTAACTATATGCTTGTCCTGAAGCAAAGTAAGCAACTGTAGCCACTCTGTCCATCCCATGGGAACTAGGCTAAATATCTCAGACTCTGTTAGGCCATTCCTTGATAAGGCAATATGCTGTAAGATCTAAAGTTGGACGAAGAAGAAAAAACGTTAGTTTTTAAAATAATAATAGACTTCTTTACCTAGTTTTAATTTTTCCCCATTTCAGAACACGTCATTCTTTTGAGACTAAGATTTGTTTGAGTTGTATCCTTATTCCTGCGTCTTCTCATTCGCAACCATTAAACAAGGGAATGATATTATAGGGAATGACACATAATCTGAAATGGAAAATCAATACTTCGGTGCAAGTAAGGAGGTCTACTCTTTTGTTTTGCTGTTTTAAATGGTTTTTGATGGAATTTGAGGCATTTCTTTTGTATTTCCAGCTTAGCCTTGCATCAAGACGTGTCCATCAGAGTAAGTTTAGAATTACAATTCAAATTCGCTTTGACAGAAAAAGGAACAAATTAACATTCAACGTCTTGTGTGATATAATTTATCTTACTTGCTTCAGCTTTTCGCTCGTATCAGTACTGTTTTGACTAGTCATTTCAAGGATATGACGCAACAATTCCAAGTTGTCCTGCAAACGGTAAAATAAGGAGTGAGGGATCATGATTGTTAATGATTCTTTACATGGAGGACGACCCTACGTTGTGCAGACCTGAAGTCCTGTTTCTTTTTTTAACTTAAAGACTTATAAGCAAGGCTAATGGGTCAACAGAAAGCAGAACTGATGCAATCATTTCTGGCTTCTACCTCCATGCACTCCCGCTCCCTGGACAGTGGAGCAAGGAGATTGCGTTACCCAAAACTAGGGAACATGCTATTACAAGCCAACTATTTGTTTGAAACACAGAATAATACTCTTCTTTTAAAAACTACCAGGACAACCCATTATATGGGCATTTTGTCGTTCTTTCGAAACCGGTTCGATCGTAAAAGTTCACCGACGATAATCAGTAGCTTCATTACATACCTTCATAGATAAACATTTCGCCAGTTTTTGTTCAATAAATTCAGTGCTATTTTTCCTACAACTGAATGAGTTTGAATTAAACAGATAGTACACAAATTCAGTTATAAGTGGCGACGGATAAACAAGTACAACACAGACAATAATTCTTTGATATTATGAAAGGTACAGTAGGGAACAAAGATTTCCGAGATTCCCAAGATTAATGATTGGAAACAATGGAACATCAATTTTATAATGTAGTTTTTAATAAAAGACCGTTTTCTCAAGGTTGCGTGCGCTTCCAACTTGACGGGCCACAAAACTAAAAAACGCTAATTCAGTAAAATTGAGAATATAGTTTTAAATTTAAAGAGGAGAATAATCGATTTTATGAATTCTTATAGAAAAAAAAATGAATACTCGTGTTCTGGTATCGTGGTCCGTCAAGTTCCTTCAATTTGGATGCGGCGCACGCAAACTTGAGAAAACGATAGACTGAGTTTTTATTTGTACATTTGACTTTATATTTGTTGTAATCATTGTAGTTAATACATATATATTATATTACATTTTAATAATTGTAGAAAGTAGCGAAACGGTAATACCAACCTGTTAATCTCAGAAGCCAGCAAATATAAAAACCTAGGGTTACGAACTGCATCGGATGAGCAATCTAATACTGCCTTAGACACCTGAAAACATGAATAAGGCAGTCCCTTAGGTTGGTGCTCCTGAGGGTATGAGCTTTACAGTTTAGTTACCGCCATTTGCATTGCTACGCGGCCACCCCAGACAAAAATCGCGACGTGCACTTTGCAATAGACTGCTGTCAATCAAACACATTGACGTCATTTACACGCGTTTGGATCGGCCCAGAAAGGCCCGGTGAGTGTGGCTCATAATACTTGTAAACGATCGACAAGTTTTGGCGCCTTTTGAATCACACACGCGTGTAAATGACGTCTGGAATGGCCTGGAATGCAAAGGCCATGAATTTCCATTGCCTGGAATGCAAATGCCATGACTTTCCATTGCCTGGAATGCAAATGCCATGACTTTCCA